CTGGTCTCTCTCTGGTCTCTCTGGTCTCTCTATGGTCTATCTCTGGTCTCTCTCTCTGGTCTCTCTCTGGTCTCTCTCTGGTCTCTCTGGTCTCTCTCTGGTCTCTCTCCGGTCTCTCTCTCTGGTCTCTCTCTCTGGTCTCTCTCTGGTCTCTCATTGGTCTCTCTCTCTGATCTCTCTCTCTGGTCTCTCTCTGGTCTCTCTCTCTGGTCTCTCTCTGGTCTCTCTCTCTGGTCTCTCTCTCTGGTCTCTCTCTCTGGTCTCTCTCTCTGGTCTCTCTCTAGTCTCTCTCTGGTCTCTCTGGTCTCTCTCTGGTCTCTCTCTGGTCTCTCTCTCTGGTCTCTGTCTCTGGTCTCTCTCTGGTCTCTCACTGGTCTCTCTCTCTGATCTCTCTCTGGTCTCTTTCTCTGGTCTCTTCTGGTGTCTCTCTAGTTACTCTCTGGTCTCTCTCTCTCTGGTCTCTCTCTGGTCTCTCTCTGGTCTCTCTCTGCTCTCCCTCTGGTCTCTCTCTGGTCTCTCTCTCTGTCTCTCTCTGGTCTCTCTCTGGTCTCTCTCTGGTCTCTCTCTGGTCTCTCTCTGGTCTCTCTCTGGCCTCGCCCTGGTCTCTCTCTGGTCTCTCTCTCTGTCTCTCTCTGGTCTCTCTCTGGTCTCTCTCTGGTCTCTCTCTCTGGTCTCTCTCTGGTCTCTCTCGTCTCTCTCTGGTCTCTCTCTGGTCTCTCTCTGGTCTCTCTCTCTGGTCTCTCTCTGGTCTCTCTCTGGTCTCTCTCTGGTCTCTCTCTCTGGTCTCTCTCTCTGGTCACTCTCTCTGGTCTCTCTCTTGCCTCTCTCTGGTCTCTCTCTGGTCTCTCTCTCTGGTCTCTCTCTGGTCTCTCTCTGGTCTCTCTCTGGTCTCTCTCTCTGGTCTCTCTCTGGTCTCCCTCTGGTCTCTCTCTCTGGTCTCTCTCTGGTCTCTCTCTGGTCTCTCTCCTGGCCTCGCTCTGGTCTCTCTCTGGTCTCTCTCTCTGGTCTCTCTCTCTGGTCTCTCTCTGGTCTCTCTCTGGTCTCTCTCTGGTCTCTCTCTCTGGTCTCTCTCTCTGATCTCTCTCTGGTCTCTCTCTGGTCTCTCTCTGGTCTCTCTCTGGTCTCTCTCTCTGGTCTCTCTCTCTGGTCTCTCTCTGGTCTCTCTGGTCTCTCTCTGGTCTATCTCTGGTCTCTCTCTCTGGTCTCTCTCTGGTCTCTCTGGTCTCTCTGGTCTCTCTCTGGTCTCTCTCTGGTCTCTCTCTCGGTCTCTCTCTCTGGTCTCTCTCTCTGGTCTCTCTCTGGTCTCTCACTGGTCTCTCTCTCTGATCTCTCTCTCGTCTCTCTCTGGTCTCTCTCTCTGGTCTCTCTCTCTGGTCTCTCTCTGGTCTCTCTCTGGTCTCTCTCTCTGGTCTCTCTCTCTGGTCTCTCTCTCTGGTCTCTCTCTCTGGTCTCTCTCTCTGGTCTCTCTCTCTGGTCTCTCTCTGGTCTCTCTCTGGTCTCTCTCTCTGGTCTCTCTCTCTGGTCTCTGTCTCTGGTCTCTCTCTCTGGTCTCTCACTGGTCTCTCTCTCTGATCTCTCTCTGGTCTCTCTCTCTGGTCTCTCTCTGGTCTCTCTCTAGTTACTCTCTGGTCTCTCTCTCTGGTCTCTCTCTGGTCTCTCTCTGGTCTCTCTGGTCTCTCTCTGGTCTCTCTCTGCTCTCTCTCTGGTCTCTCTCTGGCCTCGCCCTGGTCTCTCTCTGGTCTCTCTCTCTGGTCTCTCTCTCTGGTCTCTCTCTCTGGTCTCTCTCACTGTCTCTCTTTCTCTCTGGTCTCTGGTCTCCTCGCCCTGGTCTCTCCTGGGTCTCTCTCTGGTCTCTCTCTGGTCTCTCTCTGGTCTCTCTCTCTGGTCTCTCTCTCTGGTCTCTCTCTCTGGTCACTCTCTCTGGTCTCTCTCTTGCCTCTCTCTGGTCTCTCTCTGGTCTCTCTCTCTGGTCTCTCTCTCTGGTCTCTCTTGGTCTCTCTCTCTGTCTCTCTCTGGTCTCTCTCTGGTCTCTCTCTGGTCTCTCTGGTCTCTCTCCCTGGTCTCTCTCTGGTCTCGCCCTGGTCTCTCTCTGGTCTCTCTCTCTCTCTGGTCTCTCTCTGGTCTTCTCTCTGGTCTCTCTCTGGTCTCTCTCCTCAACTGGTCTCTCTGGTCTCTCTCTGCCCTCATCTCTCCCCTCGCATTATTAACATGTAATCTGAAGGTGACTTCTAACCAACCAATATAGGGCATCTTTTCTCCATTCGCAGCTGTTATTGCCAATGTATTGTCACCTTCAATATTTCACAAATGTCTCTGAGTTTCATATGTGATAGATTCTCTTCCCACCACTTTTCATCAACTATTGTTACTTGAGAGCCAGAATCCCATAATGCTTGTGTCTTCTGATTTTGTATGTAACAATCCACTAAGTATTTTTGTCCAATTAGCGGTGCCACTTTGACATTATGCTTAGATGACTTGGATTTGACACTACCACTTGACACGTGCGCACATTCTTTGTGGACAGTCCAGTGTTGAGTTTGACAGGATTTTGAGCAATAAAGTACATTTTTACACAATGCACATTGTCGGAGTCTCACCTTGTCTCCTCCAACTTTACAGTTTTCACACTTCTGGGACATACTTTGCATCGGGGTCACTGGTGGTCCCTCTGGAGTGACCCTTGCCCGTTTAAAGGATGAGACTGGCGTGCTCCTCTCATTCTGCAACCTGCTATGAAATGTTCATTACTACCACATACATAACAATGTCTGCAATTATCAGTGTTGTTTTGCTGACAGGTGAAACAACGCCTCCTACGCCTGGGAGCGGGTATTGCATAATTCCTTGGGGTCGTTTGGTTGTACTTGGGGTTCTGATATACATACGGACTGGGCCATAGCATTTGGGGCGGCATTGCGGGTGGGACAGTCATCTGTGGATTGACAGGGATTGAGTGTGGTTCAACTTGAATTTGTGACTGCGGTTTTTGCATGAGACTTCAGCTTTTAAATCACTCAGTAGTGTCATGTTGGATCTCATTTCCTTCAGTTCAGATAATATGTCCGGTTGCACTTTGGATTTCTTTTGTGGGTCTTTACCTTGTCTTTCAGCTGGGCTTTCGCTGGACTCTGCAGAATGAATAGCAACACGTTGTGGGGCTAGCAGTTTTCGTTTGTCTTGTCTTTCACTTTCACAGGCACAAGAAGTATTGAGCTTTTCTAACAACAGTTCATCTGACACATTTTCATGTTGTAGATACGGCTGTAGGTCACGTTTTATGTTGTCATTCTGTAACCCAGTTAGGAGCGTGTGAAGAAACATTTTGCACAAGGGTGGGATCATACTTTAAACCTGATTCAGATTCTTGAGAAGCGAAAAGTATTTTCTGTCTGAGATCAAGAGCACGAATGACAAAACTCTGAGGGGCTTCTTTATTACTTTGTACCTCTGAGCTCAGTTGTTTGTACAGATCTGTAGCACTTTTCTCTTGATAGTGGCATCGAAGAATTCTTCTCAGAGCGGGGAGTGTTAAGTTGGCTTTCCCTTCGAGGTAACTACGGAGTTGCATACCTGGAGTGATGGCTCTTATGACGGCGTCCACAATCTCTGCTTCCGTAAAACCCTTACTTAGCCCATGCTCGATTTGACGTGCCAGACTTGAAAAAGTGAGACGGTCTTTCTGCCCCGGCTCACCGATTAGACCAGAGATTTTTAAGTCTTTATTCCAGGGAGCAGTGACCTGTGGATGAGCAGTAGATAGGGAATGTGCTTGCCTGCTCGGTGTTGGACTGTTTTTTTTTTGTTTGCATTAATGATAGCTTCAGTTGTAGTGCCTCGATTTCTTTAGTCAACTTTACATGTTCATTGGAAGTTTCATCTGTCTTGTTCTGTTGCATATTCTGATCGTTACCCTGGTTCAAAATATCAGTCACATTGCTTTGACTTGCTTCCATCTGTACGGACTCACTCGCAGGTAAGACAGGTTCTCCAATATTTTTATATTCTTTAATTTGGTCTCTTATGTACAGCAACTCTGACATACCTTGATCTTCGAGCTGTTCCGTCTCATCACGTTGCAAATAAGAGCTTATCATGGTAATTAGCACAATGCGGGGCTTATTCTGTGTCTGTTCACGTCCCTCAATGTCTAAAAGTCCAAAAATACTCAGTAACTGCTCTTCAGATAGCGTACACAGTGCTTGGATCACTTCTAGCTGAAGTTCTTCCATGACGTTAGACTCCATTTTGTTATTACACAGATATAAGGTGACGACGAGTTTTCGCGCCTCAGCAGCGTTAGCTTTAGCTCTGAATATTAGCTTGGTTTTCCTGGTGGCTGTAACTTCACCTCAGATTACACAGGCTTTATTCATGCAGTCCGCTGCCGTTGCTGTAACGAATTTTGCTCTTCGTTGTCAGCCTGGGTTGTTTAGGGGGGGATGAGAAAGCAACTTGGGTTACTCCTGACATGAGCTAGCCTTCGTTGCGCTCATCCCAGCGGTGCCTCCAAAATGTTACGCCCCTGAAATAAGGAGAAAACCACGAGAGTGATTTGGGTGCGTTTCCCTCTTGCAGGAGTTTAATACAAGTCTTATAAACAAATACGAATATGATACAATTACAACAATTGGTCCCTTTTACCTGAAATAAGGAGAAAACCACGAGAGTGATTTGGGTGCGTTTCCCTCTTGCAGGAGTTTAATACAAGTGAGGAAAAAGCGCGAACCCCCCCCCCCCCCCCCCCCCTATCTGTCGGTGTGGGCAAAACCAATCACTCCATTGTTGTTCAGGCTTACTAGTCGATAACAATCTTTTCTGTAAAAACTCAAAATGTAAATACTGAATTAACTGTAGATATTTTAACATACCTTTAACCATATTTATCTTGTTTTTTAAATATTATGTAAATTATGAAATAACTATTTATTGCAAATCTCTTTTTCTATATATATATCTATTACATTGTTTTATCACTATTACACATACACCCCTCTGACCATACACCCCTCTGCCCAAACACTCTGACCATACACCCCTCTGCCCCAAACACTCTGACGATACACCCCTCTGCCCAAACACTCTGACCATACACCCCTCTGCCCCAAACACTCTGACCATACACCCCTCTGCCCCAAACACTCTGACCATACACCCCTCTGCCCAAACACTCTGACCATACACCCCTCTGCCCCAAACACTCTGACGATACACCCCTCTGCCCAAACACTCTGACCATACACCCCTCTGCCCAAACACTCTGACCATACACCCCTCTGCCCCAAACACTCTGACCATACACCCTTCTGCCCCAAACACTCTGACCATACACCCCTCTGCCCCAAACACTCTGACCATACACCCCTCTGCCCCAAACACTCTGACCATACACCCCTCTGACCAAACACTCTGACCATACACCCCTCTGACCATACACCCCTCTGCCCCAAACACTCTGACCATACACCCCTCTGACCAAACACTCTGACCATACACCCCTCTGCCCCTAACACTCTGACCATACACCCCTCTGACCAAACACTCTGACCATACACCCCTCTGCCCCAAACACATGATACACACCATGATAGAACTGACAATGCTCAAAGGAGGAGCTCCTTCACATGTGTTTACTATAAAGTCATTCACAATCTTTACATTTGAAATGTATTAGAAGTTAATTTCATTATAAACAATGACCCACACGCACACACGCGCACACACACGCACACACACACACACACGCACGCACGCGCACACACAGACAAGAGAGAGACCAGAGACAGACCAGAGAGAGACCAGAGAGAGACCAGAGAGAGACCAGAGACAGACCAGAGACAGACCAGAGAGAGACCAGAGAGAGACCAGAGACAGACCAGAGACAGACCGCAGAGAGACCAGAGAGAGACCAGAGACAGACCAGAGACAGACCAGAGACAGACCAGAGACAGACCAGAGAGAGACCAGAGACAGACCAGAGACAGACCACAGAGAGACCAGAGACAGACCAGAGAGAGACCAGAGAGAGACCAGAGACAGACCAGAGAGAGACCAGAGACAGACCAGAGACAGACCAGAGACAGACCAGAGACAGACCAGAGACAGATCAGAGACAGATCAGAGACAGACCAGAGAGAGACCAGAGACAGACCAGAGACAGACCAGAGACAGACCATAGTCTCTCTCAACTTAAAAAAAAAAATAAAAATAAAAATTCAAATCATTTAAAAAAAAAAAAAAAGTATAAATACTTCATGTATGGCTCCATTCCATTTATCATGACATAATGTGTTTTTACTTCACATTTTTCTTCATTTATTTATGCCATAAATAATCGTAGGTTTTGTTGTGGAATTTCTGCACAGACCGAGAGCTGTAACACAATGAAACAGTCTGAAACCGTCTGAAACAGTCTGAAACAGTCTGAAACAGTCTGAAACCGTCTGAAAAAGTCTGAAACCGTCTGAAACCGTCTGAAACAGTCTGAAACAGTCTGAAACCGTCTGAAACCGTCTGAAACCGTCTGAAACAGTCTGAAACAGTCTGAAACAGTCTGAAACAGTCTGAAACCTGAAACAGTCTGAAACAGTCTGAAACAGTCTGAAACAGTCTGAAACCGTCTGAAACCGTCTGAAACAGTCTGAAACAGTCTGAAACAGTCTGAAACAGTCTGAAACCGTCTGAAACAGTCTGAAACAGTCTGAAACAGTCTGAAACAGTCTGAAACCGTCTGAAACCGTCTGAAACAGTTGAAACAGTCTGAAACCGTCTGAAACCGTTGGAAACAGTCTGAAGTCTGAAACAGTCTGAAACAGTCTGAAACAGTCTGAAACCGTCTGAAACAGTCTGAAACAGTCTGAAACAGTCTGAAACCGTCTTAAACCGTCTGAAACCGTCTGAAACCGTTGGAAACAGTCTGAAGTCTGAAACAGTCTGAAACCGTCTGAAACCGTCTGAAACAGTCTGAAACAGTCTGAAACAGTCTGAAACCGTCTGAAACAGTCTGAAACAGTCTGAAACAGTCTGAAACCGTCTGAAACAGTCTGAAACAGTCTGAAACAGTCTGAAACAGTCTGAAACAGTCTGAAACAGTCTGAAACAGTCTGAAGTCTGAAACCGTCTGAAACCGTCTGAAACCGTCTGAAACAGTCTGAAACCGTCTGAAACCGTCTGAAACCGTCTGAAACCGTCTGAAACCGTCTGAAACAGTCTGAAACAGCCTGAAACCGTCTGAAACCGTCTGAAACCGTCTGAAACAGTTTGACACAGTCTGAAACCGTCTGAAACAGTCTGAAACAGTCTGAAGTCTGAAACAGTCTGAAACAGTCTGAAACCGTCTGAAACCGTCTGAAACAGTCTGAAACAGTCTGAAACCGTCTGAAACAGTCTGAAACAGTCTGAAACAGTCTGAAACAGTCTGAAACAGTCTGAAACAGTCTGAAACAGTCTGAAACAGTCTGAAACCGTCTGAAACCGTCTGAAACCGTCTGAAACCGTCTGAAACCGTCTGAAACAGTCTGAAACAGTCTGAAACAGTCTGAAGTCTGAAACAGTCTGAAACAGTCTGAAACAGTCTGAAACCGTCTGAAACCGTCTGAAACAGTCTGAAACAGTCTGAAACCGTCTGAAACAGTCTGAAACAGTCTGAAGTCTGAAACAGTCTGAAACGGTCTGAAACCGTCTGAAACCGTCTGAAACAGTCTGAGAGTAGTGTCTAGAGCGACACATATCAAAACTGACTTCATTTCTGTAATATCTAGAGTAGATCTTTGTTTACTCTGGTCTATTTCATATCCATCATTTCCTCATTCGGGGCAGTTGGTTTCAGAGGGTTTCAGACGGTTTCAGAGGGTTTCAGACTGTTTCAGACTGTTTCAGGCTGTTTCAGACAGTTTCAGACAGTTTCAGACTGTTTCAGACTGTTTCAGACTGTTTCAGACGGTTTCAGACTGTTTCAGACTGTTTCAGACTGTTTCAGACTGTTTCAGACGGGTTCAGGCTGTTTCAGGCAGTTTCAGACTGTTTCAGACTGTTTCAGACGGTTTCAGACAGTTTCAGACGGTTTCAGACTGTTTCTGAAACAGTCTGAAACAGCCTGAAACCGTCTGAAACCGTTGGAAACAGTCTGAAGTCTGAAGTCTGAAACAGTCTGAAACCGTCTGAAATCGTCTGAAACAGTCTGAAACAGTCTGAAACAGTCTGAAACAGTCTGAAACCGTCTGAAACCGTCTGAAACCGTCTGAAACCGTCTGAAACAGTCTGAAACAGTCTGAAACAGTCTGAAGTCTGAAACAGTCTGAAACAGTCTGAAACCGTCTGAAACCGTCTGAAACAGTCTGAAACAGTCTGAAACAGTCTGAAACAGTCTGAAACCGTCTGAAACCGTCTGAAACAATCTGAAACAGTCTGAAACCATCTGAAACCGTCTGAAACCGTTGGAAACAGTCTGGTCTGAAGTCTGAAACAGTCTGAAACCGTCTGAAACAGTCTGAAACAGTCTGAAACAGTCTGAAACAGTCTGAAGTCTGAAACCGTCTGAAACCGTCTGAAACCGTCTGAAACAGTCTGAAACAGTCTGAAACAGTCTGAAACAGTCTGAAACCGTCTGAAACAGTCTGAAACCATCTGAAACCGTCTGAAACCGTCTGAAACCGTCTGAAACAGTCTGAAACAGCCTGAAACCGAAACCGTCTGAAACAGTCTGAAACAGTCTGAAACAGTCTGAAACAGTCTGAAACCGTCTGAAACAGTCTGAAACCATCTGAAACCGTCTGAAACCGTCTGAAACCGTCTGAAACAGTCTGAAACAGCCTGAAACCGTCTGAAACCGTCTGAAACAGTCTGAAACAGTCTGAAGTCTGAAACCGTCTGAAACAGTCTGAAACCGTCTGAAACCGTCTAAAACCGTCTGAAAGAGTTTGACACAGTCTGAAACCGTCTGAAACCGTCTGAAACAGTCTGAAACAGTCTGAAACAGTCTGAAGTCTGAAACAGTCTGAAACAGTCTGAAACCGTCTGAAACAGTCTGAAACAGTCCAAAACCGTCTGAAACAGTCTGAAACAGTCTGAAGTCTGAAACAGTCTGAAACAGTCTGAAACAGTCTGAAACCGTCTGAAACAGTCTGAAACAGTCTGAAACAGTCTGAAACAGTCTGAAACAGTCTGAAGTCTGAAACAGTCTGAAACAGTCTGAAACCGTCTGAAACAGTCTGAAACAGTCTGAAACAGTCTGAAACCGTCTGAAACCGTCTGAAACCGTTGGAAACAGTCTGAAGTCTGAAACAGTCTGAAACCGTCTGAAATCGTCTGAAACAGTCTGAAACAGTCTGAAACAGTCTGAAACAGTCTGAAACCGTCTGAAACCGTCTGAAACAGTCTGAAACCGTCTGAAACAGTCTGAAACAGTCTGAAACAGTCTGAAACAGTCTGAAGTCTGAAACAGTCTGAAACAGTCTGAAACAGTCTGAAACCGTCTGAAACAGTCTGAAACAGTCTGAAACAGTCTGAAACAGTCTGAAACCGTCTGAAACCGTCTGAAACAGTCTGAAACAGTCTGAAACCATCTGAAACAGTCTGAAACCATCTGAAACAGTCTGGTCTGAAGTCTGAAACAGTCTGAAACCGTCTGAAACAGTCTGAAACAGTCTGAAACAGTCTGAAACAGTCTGAAGTCTGAAACCGTCTGAAACAGTCTGAAACAGTCTGAAACAGTCTGAAACAGTCTGAAACCGTCTGAAACCGTCTGAAACAGTCTGAAACAGTCTGAAACAGTCTGAAACCGTCTGAAACAGTCTGAAACAGTCTGAAACAGTCTGAAACCGTCTGAAACCGTCTGAAACCGTCTGAAACAGTCTGAAACAGTCTGAAACACGTCTGAAACCGTCTGAAACAGTCTGACACAGTCTGAAACCGTCTGAAACCGTCTGAAACAGTCTGAAACAGTCTGAAAGTCTGAAACAGTCTGAAACGTCTGAAACAGTCTGAAACAGTCTGAAACCGTCTGAAACAGTCTGAAACAGTCTGAAACAGTCTGAAACTGAAACCGTCTGAAACAGTCTGAAACAGTCTGAAACAGTCGGAAGTCTGAAACCGTCTGAAACAGTCTGAAACAGTCTGAAACCATCTGAAACAGTCTGAAACAGTCTGAAACAGTCTGAAACCGTCTGAAACAGTCTGAAACAGTCTGAAACAGTCTGAAACAGTCTGAAACAGTCTGAAACAGTCTGAAACAGTCTGAAACCGTCTGAAACAGTCTGAAACAGTCTGAAACAGTCTGAAACAGTCTGAAACAGTCTGAAACCGTCTGAAACAGTCTGAAACAGTCTGAAACAGTCTGAAACAGTCTGAAACCGTCTGAAACCGTCTGAAACAGTCTGAAACAGTCTGAAACAGTCTGAAACAGTCTGAAACAGTCTGAAACAGTCTGAAACCAGTCTGAAACCAGTCTGAAACCAGTCTGAAGC